TTCTGGAGGACAGGATAATCATAAAGGGATTTTTTTTTCTTTGATTCTCAAAAGAATTATTTGGCAGTTTTGGAAAATCTGGGAAGTACAGTTAAGAGTGAAAAAGTAGGAAAAAAAAAAAGCCCCACACATAATTCCACTGCCTGGAGGCAAAGACTGTTTACAAGCTAACGTTGCGGCACACTTCTAAATCTTTCTATGTGGCATAATGCAACTGAGTTGAAAGTTTAATTTGTCAGCGTTACACAATTTTTATCAATAATATTTATTGAACCTCTACACATGCAGAGTATTGCATTAAGGTTCTTTGATTCTTTGATGTTTCTTTGATAAAAATTTTAGCTGTCGATGTCTGAAGGTAGCCAACTATTATTAAAAAATAATACCACAAAGCGTATTTCCAACCCCTCACAAGCACGTTTTATTGCATCAGTTTGAATATAAAAGACTGACTCGCGTTATTAAGTAACCTGCAAAATTCTATTTTTGACAGCTTTATTTGTCCTGCCAGTGATAAGAGGGCACAAATTAGTCACCCTCTATTTTTTGAATTCTTGTTTTGCAAGTATTCAGCATTCAATATCAGAGACTGCAAAGATACGGCAGAAGCAGACCCTTCAAACCCTAACTTAGCAAATACCACAACATTCAAAAATGTCATTTGATGGATATGCTCCCTGAATTGTATTAAAATGCTTATCTTCATTTTTGTACGGAGATTTTTTTTAAAAAGTAAACCTGGTGTTGCTCTTTTTCTTGATGATCGTATTAATATTTTCTCTAGTCCAGAGTAGGAGGACTGAAATATTGAGAAGGCTAAAGGATTTTTCCTAAACTGCAGAGTCTGAACCTGTGTCTCAAGACATGCTGGTTTCCTCTTCCAGTTAGTCCAGTTTGCTGACCAATGACTAGATTGAACAGATGCTAGAATCACAGAATCGTGACTCAGAGACAGGGTAGTTCCTGCCCAACCTTCTGGGAAATTAAGGCCAAGGGCAGTTAAGGGACTTGTTCAAGTCCATAGTTGTGTATAATAGAGGCTAGGTTAAATTATAGGTCACTCATTTGAAGTCTTGGGTGATTTTCTACTCTTTGCCGCCAAAATCAGAAGGGATTTTCCAATGATTCAAAATGATTGAGCTGAATTATGTATATATTTACATGTGATTGGAGGCTGTAGATCTAGATAGCTAGGTTTCAGAATTTTAGGTTTCTGTATTACTAGAAAATTTCTGATCCAGTAGTTCTGCTAACAAATAAGAATTATTTACAGTGAATCATTTTACAAAGTTTAGGCTTAACAAAATATTTTTAGGATGCTCTGACATAGTAATCTCTAAAATTTCAATCTTAAAGATAACATTATCACAACTCTTAGTTCTGTAAATCTTGCTGAAAATTTTGGCCAATTGCATAGCCTATAAATCTTGGGCAAGCAACCTAACTTTCTTTGTGCCTTGTTTTCCTTATCTGGAAATTGGAGATGATCACAGCAACTACCTCATAGGTTTGTTGTTGGGATTAAATGAATTAATAGATACAAAGCAGTTAGCATATAAGTACCTGATAAATGTTTACTATTTTGTTATTGTTATTAGCTTGTGATCTAAATCCTCACTATTATTATCTTTTGAATGTAATTGAAAATATAAGACCAAAGCAATATTCAGGTGGCCCATAAATTTTTAGGGGTTTTTATTTGAAAACGTTTTTAAATTATAAAGGTAAAATAGCCCTATTGGTTTTTTTCCTTCATAATGCAAATGTTCTTAAATAATTAGGTTTATGAAATGATCTCCATTGCTGTTTGTCTCTTTTAAATGTATTTTGTTATTTGTAAGCTTTTTACATAGCTCTAATATGTTACAATTTTCTGTCCTGCAGAATTTTCTCAGTGGTCACCTAATGACTGATATTATTTCATTTGTAAATTTTTAAGAATTTTAAGATGGAATGGGATTCTTTTGGCCTCTCGTTTGGGTATGACACTATCCCTGGACCACCAAGCAGGACAAGGAGATAGCAGGGAGCTGTTAACTGTTTTGTATTCTTAACTGAACACCCTTCCCCATTCCTGAGTTTAGAAAACTACCCTACCGCTCCCCAACCCTGAGTTTAGAAAAAATATTGGAGAGTTTGAGAGGAATTTTTGTGTTTATTCACAGATATTCGGAGACCATTACTAGTGTGTTGTAAATCCTGGTTCCCACTAATGGGGAGGAATTTTGAGGAGCTTCTCAGTTCACCTAAAGCAAGAGAGAGGAGTAAGGAAACATTGCATAGAGCTTGGGATGTATGCCCTGCAGTTGAGAACACACTAGGCTGGTGGGTCCAACTCACTCCTGAAATACCTACTGTGAGCAACGGGTTGGCCGGCTGTTTTGACAGTGGTGAGGAGAGGTGGTTGCTTTGTGTCACCTGCACCTCCGGGTTTCATTGGGTCAGAATGTGTGTTTCCAGGGGACTAGAGTTTGGGCAGATGTAAGAATCAGGGGTTATCTTCCGTCTTCTCCGAGAGGGATGCTTGGAATGTCAAAGAGAGCTCTGAAGGAGGAGACTGAGGCCCAGGAAAGTGGCCAGCCAGAGCAGAGTGTAGCAAGGTGAGAGACCCTGGCGATGGAGTGAAGGGTGACTTTGATGATCCTACAGAGGATCCCAGGAGCTTTACACCTGCAGGGCCCAGAGCCCAACACCGGTGTCAGTTAAGTAAAAACGTCCCTGTCCCCTCTCCTCTTCTGCTTCAGCTGAGTCAGGAATTCTAGTTAGTAAACCGGTGTAGGAAATTATGCTTCTGAAAGCATAAAGGAGAAAAAAATAGAAATTGCCCTCCAACCTGACATATCTGGGGAAGGGAAATAGCTTTAACTTTGAATGAAGTTACATTTTTATTATCCTGGACTTGACATATTAATTATTTAGTGGAGAAGCTTTTATTAGCTGAAAGTTACCAGAAGTCATGAGACCTGCCCTGAATTTCAACTGAGGGAAAAGAAAGAACCTGAGCCCAGAATAAAATTAAACGGACAACATATATTGTTTTAGGATTATTTCTTATGAAGTTCTGCTTGTTGAATGTAATGATATATTCATGGTTAATAATTTCCTTTTATACATTGAGGTTTATGATGTTGAGATATTAGAAATAGTGTCACACTAGACAGGTTTATATATGTATTTATCTTTATATTTCAGATCATTAGAGATTTATTCCCAGAAGGGGAATATCTTTATGTATGAATATTGACAAATTGCTTTTCAGAAGGGTTTATATGCTCTCCATCATCACTGTCTTTGCATGAGTGTTTCAGATACAAAAAAGTTAAAAAGATAAACTCATTTAAAACATTTTTGATTTTATAACATGTATGAAACTGCTGATTACAAAAGGAAAAAAAAAACCCTTCTTTTCAACTAACTGTACCTGAGCATATATTTTAAAAAATTACTGTTTTAAGTGGATCTGTTTTATATATTATAAATTCTATAGAATTTTCTCTATGGATTATGAAATACCCCTTTATGTGGGAGAAGACTGCATAAAGATTTTTAATCAGGCAATCATTTTGAAGCACATTAAATTTGGAGATGAAGATATTTAAAAGTTTATTAACGATCCTAAATAGACTTTTATTAAGCATTAAAAACTAGTAATACATTCGTATCTCCTTTGACTTAAGTGAAACTTTCAGAAGTCTACCATGAGATAATACTTTTTGAAATCTTAAAAAACCCTAAATACTCTTCAGTGTGATGAAAAATTAGAAATAATTTTGAGCATTACATTGTCTCTAACAAAGCATTCTATGACTTAGAAGATTGTTGCAAAATGTACTACATTCAGTTTTCCACTGATCTGACAAAGGAACATGTAATAAAGGACACTGCTGTATATTTTATTGTTATTCACAAATGACTTTCGTATTCATAACAGCACAGAGATTTGGTTAAGTTAGGAAAGTATGTGGGTGAAAGATAATGGCTGAGAATTAAAATACTTTGTCACACTGTAAAAAGAGCAACATTATTTCTTCAAATAAGATAATTAATTTGTATGTCTAACATTAGTTTGCTTTTTAATGTATCATAAGCTCTCTAAAGGAGGTTATCATAAAGACAATAATAATATACAGGTAATTCTTGACAACCAATGACTATGAACAGACAGCTTTAGGATATTATGTCTTCTCCTCTTTTCAGAAATGCTGACCATGGAGATAAATGATTGTATACCCTGAACTGATTGGGTAGTTATTATGAGAAAACATCCTAGAATAGCTGGGCTTACCAAAAGTCAATCTTTGGAACCCTCATCTAGAGGTTGTTTTGTATCTGTCGTCAGAAATCTCTCTGGAAACTAAGGCCAGTTCCTGGGTAGTTTGTTCTCTGCTGATTTTTGAAACATTAGCTTGGTTCTACTTCACTGACAGCTTTGAGTGATGAATTCCAGCTGCCTTTTCTTATACTAAACTGGCCTTTCAAAACTGTGATAGTCTTTATGACTGTGAACATAGCTCTGCTTCCAAATGACAAGGCAAGATTGAGTTGATAACCCAGAGTAGAAAGAACATCACCTGTAAGGTCACCTGCAAAGCTGAAATGATCCAATCTCCTTTCCCCATGGAAAGGAACAGCCATCTAAAGAGTTATGCAGCTGACTGATCACATTGTGCACCTTAGGACCACTAATATCCCCACCGCTCTGTGAATTCAGCAGTGAGTCTCAGCAGATGTCACAAGAAATTCCTACCTGGACCAAGCTATATCCTGTGCGCTGGACCAGTGCGCGGAGGGCTGCTTCCTTCTGGGTGCCGCTCAATCCATCCCCGGATTTGTGATTTGATTCCATTGAGAGTGATTATCAGCAAAAAATCAGGTTAATTAGGGTTGCTCACTGAAACCAAATTTAAGATAAATTAAGTAAATTACTATTGCCAAGTCCAAACTTGTCCTTTTCATGAAGGACATCTTCAGGAAACATTCTCTATAAGTGAGTCATTAAGGTTAGAGCAACTAACAGACTCCCACAAACAAGGTCACTCAAATGTCCTTGTTAAAAGAGTCTTTCCTTTAAAATGTTCAATTTTAGTTGAAATTTAGAAAAAAATGAAAACGATCCTTTTCCACTTAGAATGCAGATGAGTGATTCTCAATCCAATTATCTCAGAATGTCACCAAATGCTCAAAAACAAATTTGTTCTTGCCAATTAAAAGAATATGCAGAAAGGTCTTTGCAGATGTGGAAAGAGAGCACTGTTACTATATTGAATCAACGAGGTTACGGTCTAGAGATCCGGAAAGTTTTAGCTTCATTTATCTGTTATGTCTGTTACCTAAGACATTTCTCTACTTATTCTCCAAAGATAAATTTCTAAACCAGAGTGTGCTGGTGTCAGATTTGCAGAAGTCATTATGCAAATTATTCTGTAATAAAAATGTCACATGGGTTTTAACAAAACACAATGGATCCTTTTGAATGGTGTTGGAAGGGCCTACTGACACCTGGATTATATATCACACAGACCACTCAAGAGGGCATGAAACCTATTGTGAGATCTAGGAAATTAGAAAAATTTACATATGTCCATGTTTATGTATGTGGATATGAGTACGAAATTTCATCATTTTATTATCTATACTTTATATTTCAACCCCATTCCAAATGTGATAGTTGCTCAAATTCACAGGTTCCCAGGGCAAGCACATGTCCATGGTGAAGGTCCCAGGCTATGGTGGTGCAAGGCCCTGTAGGCTCCCATGTACAGAGGGGAGTGTGTTGATCTGCTGGGTTAGAGTAGGAATGATTCAGTGAAGGTTCTGTGCTGGGTTTTCACTTCTGTGCTTAATGTTCTTTGCCAACTAAGACAGAGGAAGCTTATTTTACAATGTTTTGAATCACATGCAAGTCTAATGTATTTCACTATTGGGCCTTTAAAAACTTCTCTGTCCTGTGCATTGGGATTTCCTATACTGCTTTGGTTTTCATTTAAAGATTCTGAATAAATGGACCATTAATAATTCAGGGAATGGGTAAAAAATTGGGTGACAACAGTGAAGCTGAGATAATCATTTCAATAAAATGCAGCTTCAAAGTATTCTGCTTATTAAAGTAATAGAATAAAAGGTTCCCAAGCTAATAGACAGGCATCATCTAGAAAGTAATATTTTCAATATAATGTAGAAAACCATAGGAAAAAAATGAGATTTCCAGAGAGAGATGATTCATTAGCAGTTACAGGGATCGAACAGTTTCATGGCCTGAAGATAAGCCTGGCCATTCCTGCCCTCAGCTTTTCTCAATTC